ATCCAATACACAATTTTGGGTGTTCAATCTTTCTTTTTATGAAGTTGACAATCAATCACACAAGAACAAAAAACTGTGTAATATAAGAAAACATTATGTCAGTTATCGGTAGGAAAATGCATTAATTCCACATCCAAATCAATATGTGCCCTCTGATGCCTAATGGCATCAACATGCTTAAACGTAATATCAAGAAAATAAGGTTCGTGGCAATCTTTAATTTTAGTTAAATATTAAAAAAAGCACTATAAATTGTTATATCACTCTCTCTATTTTTACACATCTTTAATAAAAGTTAAAAAGTTACTAAAATAATCTGTTTCCATTCATAATAAGCATGAGCGAAGGGTTGTGATTTAAAGCTTGAATGACTTTGACACGCAATAGTGGAGTCAAAAATATTAAATGAGATGAGACACTTATTAATTAAATATTGAAAATTTTTCTAAAATATTTTACATAAAATTTTTAAGATGGACTTCAAGAAAGATAAAATAAAATATATATAATATATAATATATATTTATAAATAGATGTACATGGACAATATAAAAAAAATCACGGATACAAGTTTTAAAATTATATAATGATAAAGTAACTTTTTATACAAAATTTGAGTAGAAATTTAATAAAATTATAATATTATGATGATATTATCAACCAATAGTAAAGAAACACATGGATAATGAATCCCACATGTCAAATATATCTAATAATCTAATAAATTTCACATCTTCATTGAGATTAATTATATTTGCATGTCAATAATGATAGACCTCATTATTATATTGAAATTTTCATAGATAATAATATGACTTATCGTAGTCTCTTTATTTTCAATTAAAACAATCATTATTATTCTCATAATTTTAAAAATATCATTGATATTTCACTCTAAATAATATTTTTATTTAAAATATGTTCTTTATATTTATCCAAAAAAAAAACAAAATTCCAAAACCCAGGGGAGACACGTGACCCCCCTAGACCATCTATACCTCCGCCCCTGTTGACACGGGTTTGAACCCCCAACCCACTCCCCCTTCCCTTAGGTTGTAGCTATTTTACATATTTGAAAATTTTTAATACTGTATTTGGTTGAAAAATTTGAGAATGGATTTAGAAAATGAAAGGGAAAATATAGGTGAAATATGAATAAAATATACCTACATTTTACATAGTTTCACCTACTTTTTTCATTTCTCTTTCCAAATCCCTTAACCAAACACAGCGTAATGAATCTTTCAATAGTATTTAAACTCAGATGAAGTTCGGACCATTTGTTAGAGCAAAAAGAACAATGGATCTTATAGGATTCGAAAAAAGAACAATGGATCTTATAGGATTCTCAATAAATTCTGCGATTTCTTCTAAAAGAAAATGATTATTAATCATTTGTTTATTGATTCTATCTTTGTTTGTTCTGTTTGAAGAATGGAAGAATCCCAAATAAACTATCATTCTTTAACAAGCACAACAAAGTATTGAATTCAAAAGAGAAATATGTTTCTCATTATAGCATTGAAGTTATACAATGCAATGCTCTTCCATCAAGCTATGCTACTAAAAAATGAAAAATAAAAACACTAAAATTTCATATTTCCATGACATGCTTCATCCTGAGAAGAGTCTAGTAAAGAAATTCCCAGATTGAGGTTTTTCTAAACATGCTACATGAACATATCTACCCAACTTGTCGACTTGCCTCGGTTCACCCCTCGTATCCTTCTTGCAGATTTTGCAGGTTTTGTCGATCCAGCCTTCTTCAACGTATTGTCCATCCACTAATTTAAGAGGGAAAAAAAAAAAAGAAAAAAAAAAATGATTTAAGGTTAGGAGAAAAATGGCTGTTAAAAATGAAAGACATTAATTTGTGCAATATTGCTAACATATTTTTCAAAAATGCTAGATAATATTACTAGGCAATGGAAATAAACATGGTCAATTAAGGCAGGCTTTGAGTTGATTCTGTTGTTGATTGAAAATTAACTCCAAATTACTAGGCAATGGAAATAAATAAATAAATATGGTCAATGAGGCAGAATTTTAAGTTTTGATTTCTACTTTTCCTGGATGGAAATAATATTTCATTTTTTGATTGGTTTGAAATGATTTTTATTTTTTTCAATGGATTCAAAATAATTAATGAAATATTAAACAAAGAAAGAATATGTATATCTATTCTATTATATAATGCAAATGGTTGAGTTGGTGTTGACACTTTTGTATCACATAATTTTATTCTTAAATTATTCCTTTATAATTTCAAGTACAGATCCTTTTGTAACAACTGATTCAATCTGTAACTGTCAATTTCAACTCACATGAAAATCTCAACATTTAGTATATATATAATTATGCTAAACTATTATTTAAATAGTTATGTGAACCAATTAATAACTTATATGCATTCTTACCATCAACGTAAGATTTAAAAAAATCCTTGTATGTTCCTCCAATCTTCCTTCTTAGAGCTCCATACTGCATCACATGAGAACATCCACTTCACCACTTAAAAAGAAACACTATAAGCTCAAACATACACAAAGAAACTCAAAATCGTGATTGGATCTGTTATAAAAAACAAAAATAAAATAGAAAGTTAATTTTTTCTTCTTCTTTTCCTCTTTTTAGAAATTCCTCTCCAATTCCAACATCCAAACATAGCTTTAAAAATAAATAAATAAATAAATAAATTCAGTATGTGTTTACCTGTTCCCTATTCATCTTCTCCCCAGACTTGGTGGCTTCTCTAGCCTCATCAAGGAGTAGGGCATCCTCTTCAGACCTAACCTGTGAAAAGTCAAGAGCATCTGTCACCATCCCAAACAATGACTGCTTGCTCTTCTCCTTCTTGGGTTCTTCTTCCTTCTCATTTTCCTCTAATTTTGCTGAAAAAACTCTTCTGAATTTCACTGTTCTTTTAACACCATGTTTGGTCAGGCTCTGGTAATTTACTCCTAAATTAGGGAAAAAAGCATTATGTGAGGAGGGTGACAAGGGGAGAGCCCCAAGTCCCATGTTTGTTTTCTTCAAACTCAAAAGATTCAACCCTCTATGCACCTCTTATATAGGTAGCTATATGTGGGCACGAGATTCTCTCTTCTTAAATTCTTCGGTTCTGAATTTTTTTATATCTCAATTCATTTTCAATCGTACGATTATGTCTCGTAATTTTCATTATATTGTGAAGAAATATGATAAGATAAAGAAATTTGAAGACAGAGAATAGTCACGTGTCTCGAAATTGTGAAATTTTTTTACCACACTATAATAAAATACTTTGAAATTGAAAATTATTTAGTGGCACTTATACCATCACAAATTCATTTTAGTTATTTATTCATATGAATTTCATGCTGAACTCACATAAATAAATAGTAAAAATGTATTTGTGGCATACCACTGGTATCAAATTTTTTATTTTTTATTTTTTATTTCTTAAGACACAAACTAGGGACACAACTTGGTGTGTGGGTATCCTTTTTTGCTTTGTTGAACCACCAGCCACCAGAGGATAATAATGCCAACTAGTATTACATTGCATGACTACCACTTGGAAAAGCTAGTGGTTGGGTAGGAGAGTACGTGGCACTTTAATAGACTATTGAAATTTGAGAGGAGCATTTTGATGATGATATGCCCTACTTAAAACTTATTTTTAAATAATACAAAAAAACATATACAAACTACAAAGACATATCCATTTGGTTATGTGTGGGCAGAGTTGAAGTGAAACCAAGGATCAGAAAAAATATCCTATGAATAATCAATAATTGAAGCTCATAAGGCATTCACTGCCGGACCTAAAAATGACTGAATCTTCAAAAATTGTTTCTACTAAAAAAAACATAGGAATTTTAGTTAGAGCTCCCTCGTTAAAAAGTTTTACTAGTACAAGGATAAAAAAATATATATTTCATAATTTAAGTCCTTTAAATTTGTGGAAGTTATTCTTAGACCAAAATACCCCATACTAAAGCAGAGAAACGTTGTTTTGTTGTGGAATGATTTAAAATTCAATAATTTTGATTTACATATCTCTAGTTTTCTTTTTCTTTTTTTCTCTTTTTTTTTTAAATTCTCTCATTAAGAACTATCAACCAAGATCTATGATGAATATGAAATTCAAATAAATAAATAAAATTTCACTAACCCAAGTCAGAGAAATCTTCATTTCTTCGACTGAAATTTATTTGCGTGAAATTTCTCTGACTAGAATTTCTCTGACTTGGTAGAGAAATTTTCTTTCACTAAAATTTCTCTAAGGCCATGTTTGTTTGGGTGGACATGATCTTGGGATTGGACTAATAGTCCAATAAAATTATTAATCCGATGTTTGGTTAAACAATTGAAGTACGGACTAATTATTTTAAACTTGACTTTTAGTTAAGATGGGATACATAATCCAACGGATTCGTAATCCCAGGATTATTAGTCATGGGAATGCTAATCCAGTCCGCCCAAACAAACATGGCCTAATTGTGTAAGGTTGTATTTGGTTAGGGGATTTATAAAGGGATTTGAAAAGAAAAAAAGAAAACGTAGGTGAAATGTAAATAAAATATACTTATATTTTACTTGATTTCATACACCTTTTTCCCTTTTTTTTTTCTTTCTAAATCCCTTCCCAAATCTCCTAAGCAAACACAGCGTTAGGATAAATTAGTCATACAAAAATATAAAACCAAAGAATATGGACTTCACCTTTGAAATTTTATTAAACTGTGATCTTTTTGCGTGGATTAGATCTCATATGTATTTATATTGGAGGATGTATTACTAATTTTCCAAAAAAAAAAAACATATATATGAAAATGGTGTTCTCAAATTTATTATTTTTGTTTTCAAAAATACAAAAAACAAAAATAAAAAACGAAAACACAACCAAACACACAGGAAGTTTCACAAGCCTCTGAATTCGAAGTCTGCAGTTCAGTTCCCAAAATCTGTGTTTACACTCTCAAAAGCAAATAATACAAAACACTCAAAAATTTGCTGAAATGCTACAAAGGAAGTATCACATTTAACCTGTTAACTTGGCTTTGGGCAAAAAAATAAAGGGGCAGATTTCTAGGGCAAATTATCAGAAACCTGGAATTATCATTTTTTTATAAACAGCCCATGAAAAATCATCTAAAATATGAATAACCACAAGTAACCACTTCCTCTGCAAAATCATGTATGCCATAAGAAGTCATATAGGTCACATCTTAACATCTCACCCCAAAAAAAAAAAAAAATTTATTAATTATTTGGGTGAATTACACTAATGGTCCCTATAGTGTGGGACTTGTGCCACTTTGGTCCCTGATTTTTCAATTGTGACACATTTGACCTTGAATTTTGAATCTTGTTCCAAATAAGGACAATTGAAGATATCATTAAATTTTTCGAGGGTAAAATCGTCAATTTGATAAAATATAAACTAATTTGATAAAAATAAAAGTCAAACAAATATTTTTGAATTTTTAAAAATTATTCCTACCAACTAAAAATAAAATTATGTAAAATTGATAAATCTTTTAGATATTTATTTATTTATTTTACCAAATTAATTTTTATTATGTGTTTGGATGATGATCTTGTAAAATTAATTTTAAAAAATTAATCATGTAATTTTTATTATTTTTTATCAATTTTACATAATTTTATCATTGGTGGATACAAATAATTTGAAAAAAATTAAAAATATTTTTTTGACATTTATTTTTATCAAATTAGTTTATATTTTATTAAATTGACGATTTTGTCCTTGAAATTTAACAATAGTATTTTCAATTGTCCTTATTTGAAACAAGATTAAAAAATTAGGGTCAAATGTGTTACAATTGAAAAGTCAGAGATCAAAAAGACATGAGTCCTAAACTATAGGGACTATTTGTATAATTTATCTCAAAAAAAAAAACAAAAACAAAAACAAAAACATAAAGAAGAAGAAGAAGAAGAAGAAGAAGAAGATGATGATGATGAGGGATTACTTTTCTTACTTTTCTTTCTTGTCTTGTTAATTGCAAACCACTACATTTTGAGATGAACTGTTTGCTTTTTTTCTACAGCATAGCATTGATCTAGTTAACCTGCTCAATTTACCTTCCTGGAATACACCTATCTGAGTTTTGGGATTTTCTCATACAGCTCTTAGCTACATTTGTAGCATCTACACAACATAGACCATGCCCACCTCAAGGAGAGACACAGGAGGCACCTTGAGCACAACATCCGCTCCCCGGCAATTCCTCCTCAGGAAATTATACCCGAAATTGATGGCCAATCTCTTCATAAGAGATGACCCTCGTTTTGCCTTGACATGTGAATGCCCGAGAATGAAAGCAGTCCCGGCTTGTTGAGCGGCAAACAAGTCTTGCAGCTCTTCTTTCAATTGCATATCCAAATCAGACCGTTCAACGGAATCAGACTCGTCCATTGCAAACCTCACTCTTCTTTCCACAACACGCTCCATCTCAATGACATCTGTCACGCTCTCTATGGTTGGGAAACTTCCTGATACACTCTGTGGTTGCACACTTTCCTCTATCTCAAAAGCTGGCATGCCAGAGAGCGCCACCATTCCTATCACTGCCAATCTACACTCACTTGATGATGATGATCCACCAGATCGAGACCCATCATCCTTGTTTCCATGCCTCCCACACCAATCATAGCGGATGAAATCGGCCAGCTTGTTAACAAGTTCGGATTCGAAAGAATCGACATCCTGGTGAACGTCACGGTACCCGTAACGGACGATACACCTGTACGACCGGTGAGCCGAGGGACCCACCCGACCCACGAGATACCGCTCGGCAGGTGGCACGTAAGGGACAGGAACTGATTTTACACACACGAAGACAAGGACGCGATGGAAGGCGGGTAAGTTGGTGACAAAGCGCGAGAAGTTTGCGGGGATGCCAGAGGTGAGATCAGTGAACACAATGCCAATCCCTGGGACTCGAGCAATGCCCAAACTTGGACCCAAGGCTAATAACCATTCCAATGAAACCTTGTTGTGCAAGTCGTATTCATATTTCTTGATGGTAGCATAATGCCAAACAAACATGATGGTGACAAGAAAGAGTGCTAGGAGGATGGGGAGCCAAGCACCCTCAAGGAACTTAATAAGTGAAGCCGAGAAATAGAGTAATTCAAATGAGCCAAAGAAGAGTAGGAAGGTAAGAGCTACTATAGGGGGTTTGTGCCAACAAAGCATAATAACCAACGAAGTGAGGCACGTGGTCACGAGCATCACTGCCATAACTGCCAACCCTGCAATAGAACAGTATATTTACCTAATGCTAGGGAATCCAGAAGATGATCCAACTGATAACAGATTGAAAGCATAGTTTACCTGATGCATTGCCCATATGTTTTGTATCTCTGAATCCAATGGTCACAGCAATGCAGAGGATCATCAGCATCCAGTTGATCTCAGGGATGTAGATTTGACCGTGTATCTTATCAGAAGTGTGAACAACCTTGACTCTTGGAAAACAACCAAGTGATTGACTCTGGTTGATGATGGAGAATGTTCCACTAATGATCGCTTGACTTCCCACAACGGAAGCAAGGATTGCTACTACAAGCACTGGCCACCTCACACTTTCTGTGAGCAAAAGTGTGTGCAACCATTATGTTACTTCAATAGTAAACATTAAATAAAATAAAATAGGAGGCAACTATTATACTAATCTATGCAACTGTCAATATCTTTGCGCCATTTGAGGTGGGCAAAGCTTGCTAACTATGTGGACAATCTAATAAAGCACATCACAATTGGATGACAGTCTAACTAGTATCACAATGCCAACATTATACCTGGGACTGAGACATAATAATTGATCTGGTAATTGGTCTGGTGATGCTGTGACAAGTAGGCAGCTTGACCCATATATGCCAAAATAAGTGCCGGATAAACCAAAAAGGTGAAAGCAATCTGCAATTGGTAAAGAGTAAGAACTTTTCCTTTTTGTAGGCAAGAGACATCTTTTGGTTGGATAGAGAAGATGGTGTCAGCACAAAACATTTAATCAGAGAAATTAAACATTTTGGCAAGATGTACCTGAATTGCAGCATACGAGAAGTGGCCAAGATCAGCAAACATTGCCTCTGAGCCTACAAGTACAGTTAAAAAATGTGTTGGCTCATCTGTTGTTGAGCTACTGAGTTTTCACAATACTATGCATGCCAGTGGCACAAAATTAACCAAGTTTTTAATTAATAATAAAAGGACTGGCAAATTACAACAGTAGTCCCTATAGTTTGCCACTTGTGTTAGTTTAGTCCTTATAATTCAAGTTGCAACAAATTTGCCTTTAATTTTACAATTTGTATATGCTTAATCCATTGTATGGTACCTATACATATATTGCATACAACAGCCTAACCACTGCCTTACTCGCTTAAACAATGTTATTGCCCACCACTATTACCACCCCTCAAAACATTTACTAAACTCCTGATCAATGCTGCCTTTCCTTTGTGCCCGCAAGGCATGGCAACATGATACCCTCTCTCTCTGTCTCTCTCTCGCTCTCTCTCTCACCCATTCTACAAACCTCAACACCCAATTTACACTTTGATTGCATATACCATAACCCCATTTGAATCCATCACCAGTGCCTACCGCCACTCCCAATACCATTCCAAGCTAAACACCCAATTTACACTTTGATTGCATATACCATAAACCCATTTAAAACCACCGTCACAGCCCACCGCCCTATGAAGCACCAACACTTCAAAACAAGTGCCGTATCTATGTCAGACACACGGACACTTCGAGGACATGCGGACACTTCGGAGACATATATGGGACACACCACATGGCGTGTTCCCTTAATTAATTTATTTTCAGGGGATAAGCCGAGGACACATCGGGGACACACTAGGGACATCCAAAATTGTCTTTTCCTCCATTTTATTTAGTACTTTGATGAATGTTGAATGTTTAATATATATATATATATATTTAATTTAAATACTTAATAAATCATCTATATAAAAAAAAAATATAAACTGTAATTGTTAATTTAAAGTTTTTTTTTTTATTAAAAAAAAAAAAAAATTATAGTTAGTTTTTGTTAATATTGATTGTTTGTGGATGTAATATTAATCTAGCTAGCAAATAAAAATATATGAAAAAATATTTTATTGTCGTGTCCCCGCTGTGTCCATGTCCCCATTTTTTTCTAGATAGTAAATAAAAATATATTAAAACATATTTTATTGCCGTGTCCCCGCCGTATCCGTGTCTCCATATTTTTGAAATCGCCATGTTCCGTGTCTACATCCATGTCCGTGTCTGCGTCCGTATCTGCATCCGCATCCATATCCGTGTCCGTGCTTCTTAGCCACTGCCTCTCCCAAACCCATTCCCGTATTTGCTCTTCCTATTGACACAAAAAACAAACTACAGGGACTTCTGTTGTAATTTGCACTAAAAGAAATTGAAACATGGACAATAATCAGAATTGCTAAATGTACAAAAACTACAACATATAGAAATGTTCATGGTTGGTGCCTACTGGAATGCAGGTCACATAGATTCGATATTCTTGTTATCAAAAATTTGCTTTGGGTTAATACTGAATTGACAATCCCAATTAATCCCCAATGATGACCAGTCCGGCAATGGGACAGACCACCTTGAACATTCCCCATGTTCAAGTAAAACTTCAAATATTACTCGGACACTTCTGTGTCAACAGGTCACATGACATACCCATGTAAATCCTGGAAAGTGCTTTGATTATTACAGAGACCACTTACCAAAAAAAGACTATTGCTGAAGCAATTAATTTTAAGTACTCTTAAATTGAATTCTTGAAAAGGAATAAATCCTACAAGACAAATTATATATTTTTTAAAAACAAAAGGCCATTTCTATGAGACTCTGCAGTTTCTGTCATAGACAAAAATTCACCTACATCCAATACCATTTAGCAATAGAATTTTGGATCATAGATATCGCCTGCCAGGATATCTTGCTACACAGGTATCACAAAGAACTGACTCACCTGAAGGACTAACAAAATGGAAAGCATGAGAATTTTCCTTGTACAACTGTTTTCCAAACTCACCTGTTATGCACAATAAAATCCCACCCAATGACATCCATCCGCTTTTTCGTGTCTTCTTTAAGAACTTGAACATGTAATATGGTGAAAGAGCTTTATAAACATGTGGGTTCCAGTGGAGTATATTGTACAAGCCAAGGGAACTGATGCATAGTAGCCAAGTCAACACCAGTGGCGCGAAAACAAAACCAACACGGTGCGTGCCATAATGTTGTAATGCAAATAGGCATACTAATATGAAGCAGGTAATTGGAACCATCGCATCTGCAAATGGAAGCATAGATATAGATGTAAGGAACATAAAGGGTAACGTGAAACCAGGTACAAACCAAAAAACCTGACATTTAACTACAAAACAAGCAAAAATACGCAGTTTAGAAACTTTTAAGCCTAAAATTCTCTAACAACAAGCACTCAAAATCATGAACTACTTGGTGAAGGTAAATCTCATATAATTGCTCAAAGAAAAAAAAAATTATTATTAGATTTATCTCACATGGAATTCAACTCATAATCCTATAGTAGTATAGTTGCTTTAATTTCTGATAGATACATCTTAACAAGCACAGTACAGGAAAGGGTATGTGAATACGCAGCTAGAGTCAACAATACATCGGAAATAATTTAGCCAATTAACACAAGTTAACTATTCTACCTCTGTATTACTTATTTTTTTAATTTCCATGGGTAAATCCTTGTTCAAGAATAAAGATAGGTGCTTCCTGTGAGAATATGTGTTCTCCTCAGATTAGGAATCAGTGTCCTATGTTTATTAGACTTCTATATATCTTAGTAATGTATTCATGTAGGGTTAGGATTAGTGGTACTCTATATAAATGATGTATGTATTCTTTGTTCAAATTAATTCAATCTAATATACAGGTTGTTTAGAAATCTTACACTTCCATGGGTAAATTCTTGCTTACGAATAAAGATAGGCGCAAAAATGTATGTGCCATGAGAGAGATTGGATAAAACCCACTTATATAGATTTTTCCTCACGAAGAGAACTCCAATGGAAAATTTTAATTTCATCCGGTCAAAATTTGTTATCAAGAACTTTAGCCCCTACGTGTTACTGCATAATCTTAAGACTTGTCACTTGTGTATTTGTTTTTCCACTTTGGATGAAATTTATTAAATCACCTTTCGCCACTCTGAACTGTTATACTTATGATTGAGGTCAAAATCAAGGGCACATCCATGATCACTCTCAGATCACTTGGAACAGATCAAAAGAAACATTAGATATAATCCCCCAAAATAAAACTTGAAAGGGATAAGGCAAGAAATGATAGGAAAGGACGAAAGCAGAACATTTGGACAATTTTGATGGTCCCCTTGGCATTGTAGGCCAAATAGTTTCGCTTCATATTGGTAATAATAAGAAAAACAAGGTACGTAGCATTATTTCGACTCTGTTTGAACGCAAACTTGTCAAAAAATTACAAACCCCACCCGTCTCCTGCTCGATAACTTCAATTAATTCTGTTGGATTGTCATCTTAACAGCCTGCAAGGTTCTCTATGTACTGGAATAAATGATTAAATATTAACTAATACTTTCTTTGTATGATAGAGAGCTTACATTGATGATGTTCCTTAGACATGGATAACTCAAGGCCAGAAACAGCAGAGAAAACTGCAACAGAAACAGGTAGTCAGAAAATTAGGAGAAATGGAAGCAAATTAAGAAAAAGTCTAAAAGAAAAGAGAAAGTACCTGAAATGGCTGGAGTGAGCAAGCCATCTCCAATTACCATACATGTGCCAAGTAGAACCAAGATTAGCAAAGCAGTGTGCAAGGATTTGTGCTTCTCGAGCAACAATTTTACCCTCGAGCTCTTCTTTTTCTCCGGAGGGTGCTCTAGTTTATACGTGGAGAGTGCTTCATCGGCAACTTGACGGTTGGGCAGAAGGCTTACTTTAGCATGCCTGCATATTAGGGAATAGAGCGCAAAAGTACCACCTACAATATTATGAACTTAGAAAACTCAGTTTTGTGACCAAATGATTTGGATGTTTATCAGATTATTATAGTACCCACCCTCTCCATTGTCATCAGCTCGAAGAACTATAAAGACATATTTGAACAAAGGAACTAGAGTTAGAGTCCAGAAAACAAATGAAAGAACACCAAAAATCTCTTCATTCGTCTCTGAGTGATGAATGTCTTCTGCAAACGTGTTCTTGTAAACATAGAGAGGGGAAATGCTTAGGTCCCCGTATACTACACCAAGACTTTGATAAGCTAAGAGCAAAGTTGTCTTCCAAGAATCCTTCTGAAATACAATTCAGCAAGCAATTTCTCAGAACTGTTCAGTAAAGAAAGCATGGTACAAATCTAAGATGTGAATGTTCACCATTCACTCACATTAAGAATTGAAATTTTGTAGGTTAATCATGTCCAATCAAACAGCAAGAAACAAAGGGATAGGCTCATAATTATATGAATTGTAAATATATCTTTACATGGAACAAAAGTTGTGGACAAACCTTGGAAGTGCCCCAACACTTCGAGTAGTCAAGATCCATGCTTCTTAGGCGTCAATCTTCACACTTTTTTTTGTGTGTTGGTGGAGACCAGCTAGGTGCAGATCTTCACTGAAACAATAGAAACATTGAGGGTATATACAGAGACTGAAATTTTAAACAGAAATAGAAGAACATTTCAAAGAACCCAAAGAGACCGACCCAAATCTCTACTTTACTCCATCATTATCTAAAAGAGATTAAAGCAACACACTTTCACAACTTTTCAATAAACCCACATGACATCCATACCTTCATCATTCCCATCAACTTTTTAGCAGACTTTTAGCCTTTGTGAAAAAATCCAATAAAGCAATAAATTCCAAATGAAAAGTGAATGAGAAAATCCAAGAAAGCAAGAAATCTCCAAATGAAAAGTGAATGCCAAAGGTATTGAACCTCACAGACACCACAATTATTCAGTTGAAAGTTCCCAAATGTTCAAGAGGTGTTTTTTTTTTCCTCTCTACAATTTTTTTCTTCTTCTGTTGAGTGATGATGAGAAGGGAAAGAAACTGATAACTCACTATTGCCCCAAATCAAGCAAAAGAGACCAAACACAAAATGTCGAACTCTAGAACACAAATAACCTAGCAAAATCATAAAGACCGAGGGCATAAACTATTTTTAAAAAAAAAGTCGATTCACATTTTCATGGGAGAAACAAACAAAAACAAAAGAGAGAGAGAGAGAGAGAGAGAGAGAGAGAATGTTAAAATGTAATACGAAGGAAACTCACCACAATCACAAGAGACATGACTCAACAACAGTCAAGTTAAAAAATCAATCACAACAAGATGAGCTCGAGGGAATAAAGGCAATTTTAATGACCATAATAACCTTCTCTCTCTCTCTCTCTCTCTGCCTGTATGAATATAATATACACTGTCAAACAAACAAAGAAAAAAGATGACTAGATTTTCCACACTCCCACCAAACTGGGAAAAAATATAGCAAAACCTTCATGGGTAGAAAAGCCAATGCAATTAAAAAAGGGAAAGATTTTTCAATCCTTACTTGTACACTAATATATTCTGATCACACCTTTTGACAAAAAAAAAAAAAAAAAAAAAAAACCCAAAACTTCTAGAACCAAACAAGGAGAAAGTTAGTTATACCTGTACATAAAACTTAATTCACAGCTCACAGATTGATTACCCAGCTTTGATCAAGGACTTACCAAAACTGATCTCCAGAAATATAACTTGAGACCATGAAGATGAATGAGACACCAATGAGTCTGGTTTATAGGCAGAGCCACGTGATGAGAACATGGCCCCTTCTCTCTAAGATGGTACACTGCCCCTCCATTCTCAGTTCACGCCAAATCGCCTACCCATTTTTGCCGTTACTATTACAAACGCAATGGGGACCTTTTTTCTTGATTTGGGTCCCCATTTTTGACCTTTTTCCAGTTGTTTGATTGGTACCCACTGTTTGCTTCCCCAGAAAATGACTTTGATTTTATTTGAGACAACAATCAATCAAAGCCCATTCTCAAGCAATGTCAATCTTAATTGAAGATTATGGATTTAGTTAAGTTCCATTTAAGCACTCATTTACAAACAACCAAAAAAAAAAAGGCCAAAATTTAAAAATGGAAAAAATAAATGAAGAATAGTTATAGCTAAGCAAAGCAGTTACGAACGATTTACATGCCATGATGAGTTTGTTTTTTTTATCTGCTTTGGACCACTCTCTCGCGGATCTGAATGGGGCTTGATAGAGATACATCGAAGCGTTACTTCAATAAAGGAACATACCTAACTTTTCTTTTTACTTTTTTTTTGTCCATGTGCGTTGTATGCATGAGCTTGGTGTGTCTGCCATTGAATGCCCATTTGAAGCTCGAATAGTGTGTGATTTTGTCGGTATTATTATTATTATTATTATTATTGTTATACAGAATACAGAAATTAACAGAACCGACATTTTGCTGCTACGGAAATTGTTACAAACAGACATGGGGAATAATATCTGAGAAATTGAAGTATATAAAGAGAGAGAGAGAGAGATTTGAGTATATAAAAATTGCGAGGATTTTATAGAGAACAATGGTGTTAAAAACATGGGCGGGAGAGGGAATAAATGTGATATGTGAGACAGGAAGATGTGCCCCCTCACAGAAAAAGCTATTCACGTTGGTCAGATTAGGATGCAGCTCGAGCGATTTTACAATAAAATTATAAACTAAATAACGAATTGATAAAATATGATTTGGATAGTTTAGGATGGATTGAAGAGCATTTTTTATTAATTATTAAGTATTTATATAATATATAATATTAATTTATATAATAATACAAATTAATTTTACATATTTTTTTATGCATATAATTATTAATTTGTAATAAATTTTACATTTTAGATCTCTCTCACACTTATTTTTAGAAGTTAAAAAATATGGGGGGGTTTTTTTAAGGTCCCTGGATTACTTATAACGGAATGGATTGATTTCGAAAGCGGATTACAAATTTTAAAATTCAATTCGCAATTAGCAGACAGGACCATACGAATTGGTGTAGATCGGTGTGATTTTAAAAGATTGAGTAGTATTTTACACAGGCCTATGTTAGATTATTTTTTGAGTAATGCTAAGGATGCTAATATATTTCTACTAAATATTTAACCAAACGACTTGGGATTCGTTTGGGATGTGGGTTGACTTTTTGAATTTTTAATTATTTTAGTCTGGAGCTAAAAAGTCTCGTTTGGGATATGTTTTTTATTTTTATTTTTTTATTTTTGTGAGATAAAAAATGAAATGATTATGAATTTGATGTGATGTTTTGTTTTATTAAGCTAAAAAGCCTATTTTGTCTTTTTGTAATTAAAATAGCAAAAAATAAAAAAACCTAACATGACAAAGAAAGGCTTACATAGGTGTGGATTCTTTTATTAGTTCCTATAATTTTGGTAAAATATCACTTTAATTATTTTTACTTTAATTTCAATAATTTGAATTTTATAGTTTTAATTTCATTACGTATAAAAGTAAAAAGATCAAAGTGAAGTTCAAAATAAATTACACAGACCATTAGTGTAAAAAAATAAATTACACCAATGATTTTTATAGTTTCTTTAAATTTCACTTTGTAATTTTGTACATTATTTTTTTTGTTCAAGCGCATGACGAAAGGATTACATTGCAATAAAATTAAACATATATAAAATTCAAATTATTAAAATTAAAATTACAAGAATTAAAGTAAAACTTCACTAAAAAATTAGAGGGATCAATAGTGTAATTTACCCTTGTATATATAAATTTATGGGAAAAACTATGGTTCACATCCCTCAAATATATATCTTATAATTATAGAAGAAAATGACATAACTACATACTTTTTGAGTCATAACTAAAATAAATAAATAAAAAATAGTCATAACCAAAATCTTAAAACGATGTCATAATTAAAATAAATTAATTATAACTAAAGAAAAAATAACGTAACTAAAAAGGCATAAGGTATAAGGGTGTGTATAATAAAATCTTCCTAAATTTATATATTGTATGTACTTCATACATAAGTACAATTTTTTTCCTCGACATAAGATTTATAATTTTTTGTTCATTTTAAAAGGTCTAATTTTTATTATAAAAAACATAACTTTATTATTAATAATTTTAAAGGTGCACATTATAATTTTATCATTTATAATTTTTATCAATTTTTTTTATAACTTTTTCTGTAAAAATTATAATTTTTTTTTACAATATACACTTTTTTTAAGAACATACATTGCAATACATAAGAGAGAAGGGAAAAAAAATTTACAAACATGTGGGGTGCAAGTGTGTCTGTGGTAGGATGAAAATGAAAAGTTGTAAGGAAAAAAAATTACAAACACATGGAATACAAATGTGTCTATGATGGAATGAAAATGAAAAGCTATAAAAATGCAAGTGTAACTTGCATCCTTCCTAGTTTTTTTTTTTTTTTTCCATTTTGCCACTCACATATAATTCCCCTTATATAAAACACGTCATTTTAAGAGTGCCTAGGGGTTTCAAATATTGGTTTGGGCAATTATTGCATGTCTAATGGTCTAAATTAAAATGTTCGGCGGTGCTACATGCATCAATTAATATATACATTAATGTATCAACTAGTATTATATCATTATTATTAACCCCACCTATTATACAAATTATAAATATTCAAAACTTTTAAAATTATGTCATATCATCTGTTAATATACTAATTAGTATATTAATTAGTACATATAATATTATTCTAAAGCGTTTTATCAAAGTCATATTCTAACTTATTATGGTGGAAAAAAAAAAAAAACCTATATCACTTGAATAATAACTTATCATTTCACTACAATCAAATGTTAAACTCAACTAAGTTTTCAACCATTGAAGTGGAAGATGTAGTGAATTAAAGCTAATTAATCACGAGAGATGCAATAAATGTTGCTCCTATAAAGTTCCAAGTCTTGAGAAGATACATTATGAGTAATTAATATATTTAATTATAATTATAATTTTTTAGTATTATTAAGTTTTTGTAATTTGTGAATTATCTATAGTTTTAGAATTTTTGGTAAAGTTTTGATTTGTGAAAATTTTGAAAAAATAATTGAGCTTTGGTAAGAAATCTAATGTAGTAACAAAATAGTTTTGCCAAAACGTTTAGCCAAATTTAACTCAAGATTTAACATTGTTATTTTTCATTGATGATTTTGAATCATCAATGAAGGAGTATTTTTGTTTAGTCTAAACATATTTTTTGTCTTTATAAGTCATTTGACTTAACCATAAAAAAATATTCATAGCAGTGTGTACAAATTGGGTTGATGATTTTTTCAAACCAAATAATGTTTGGTCCACACAAAATCCTCATCCCGATCACGCCCGAATTACGTGGCACCATCAAAAGCAAAAAAAGACCTATGCTTTTCTTTTCGAAAAATGCTTTGGAGCTCTAATTTTTAAACTCTAAAGGTAGCTCTAATGAGTTGGTAGTGGGCTCCACCTACAGTGATGTGATGTTTTGGTCTTAGTTTATTTTTATTTTATTTTTTTTGTTCATTGCCATGTCATTAGTGCTTTATTAGAGCACCAAAATTAGTGGTCTGAATCATTGTTGTTTCTTTTCTCTCTTTGTCTACACCAACAGTCCTCTTTCTCTCAAACAAACGGTGGTCTCTCTCTCTCTCTCTCTCAGATTTGAATTTGTGAAGGAAAAAAAATAAGGGAATGGGTGATCGGAAAACCGATCTCCACACCCTCGCCGCCATTCCTCCACCGACCACTGTGAACCACTCACCCCCTTTCACGAACCTCGTCGCCGCAAATCAAACCCCCTTTTCCGTTGCTGCAAATCGCGGGGTCTCCACGCCAAAAAGAGAAGCAAGAATGGTAGGGAAAAAGTGGGTTTAAAAGCACCATTTTCAGTTTCTTTCTTTAAAACTCCAGTGATCAAAACCCACAATACCTCCATTTTGGAACAAACTCCACATCTTTTCACCCATATTCTTCTACAAAAAAGAAAAAAAAAAATCACAACCCATAATGATCCTGACTCGATCTCGAAACTAATTAGCCCTAATTTGTCTATCTTGAAAGGTAATTGATGGTGTAGAGAGATCAACCATTTGTAAAAATCAACCATTTGTTCTTCGTTCAAGACTTCTCTTTCTTCATGTACATATGCAATAGATACTGTTGGAGCATGTGTGAAGGTACCACATTGGATAAAGAGTAAAATGTATGAATCTTATTATACATTAGATGTGCTCTCCACTTATGGGCTTGAGTTTTTAAGTGGGCATGAGTTTCTTATAATATATGTTGGGCCTTGATGTGGTATTTGTAGACTCTAGAGTTTCTTCCTAATGGATTGGGCCGGTATTGTTGTGCACTTATGGGCCCCCTAGTTCCCTAACAACTGGTATCAAAGCCAATGATAGACGATCTATGGGCAGGCTCTCCTAGAGCATTGTTATTGTTGGCCTTGGGTTTGCACAGAGAC